AAAAGGCCACTGTTCAAAATAACATGGATTCATGACTTTGCAGCCCGAGTTTCAGATAGAAATAGCACTTCTGGGTCTCTGGATTATTTCCGAGAAGCAGACAACTTCTTCTGCCGTGGTGGAGTCCCGGGGTAATGTTTGAGGTCATCAGATCTGCACTCAGAGGCTGGGACCGCCAGCCTCCGCAGGAAAGTCAGGGGCACATACCTCATGCCAGCAGCTGTACATGATTTCATAGATGGACATTGGTGCCAGGTAAGGCCGATACAGCCTGAATCCTTTAGAAATGGTTTCCACCACTTGTAAATTTGACTGATTTTCAAAAGGCATTTTTCCTTCCGTAAAAATTTCCCACATTAAAACTCCTGCAAATAAAGTGCACAGAAACAAGGGATTGGAGAGAAATGGTTACTTGGAATCGCAGAAACAGAATACAAGGTGCTATTTTTCTCCTCCAGCCTTTGAGTGACAGTCCCACAGAAGGAGAGCAGTTCTATCTAGGAAATAGACCGTGTGCACCTTGGTTTCTGAAGACGTCTCTAACCTGAAAATAATCCGAGTGAAAACAAATCCTTTCTTTTTCTATTGCTCTTGATTGCCTCCCTATTAAAAGAAAATGCTGACAGCATTTTCATTTCTAAACACTGGTCATGTCCCCACACCCTGAAATCAATGACTTTTTCTGCCGTTCCATAGAAAATGATAGAATTGTGTGAGTACCTGCTGCCTGCTACAGCTAAGGCCAGTGAATGGCATATGTCCCCTCTGTTCACTAAAAATTAGCCTGCTAGGTAGAGCCCCAGAGTATCTGAATGATTCTGCACATTAAGCAAGTGTTCAATAATCATTGATGGGTTGATTGATTAGGGAAACACCTTCGAGAACTTCTAATTTATATTTAATTATTGACTTATTCTACAAATACTTATTATCATTAATCAGAGGCACCAGGCCTAGGCTAAGGACAGAGAAGTCTATAATAACAAGACCAGTCCACATGTCCAGTAAGCTCACTGCCTAGTGACAAAGAGACACAAGTAATCAGATAACACTCAGAGTTCTGATTGTTCTGCAACCACTGGATGAGACCCTTGTATCAGCATTTCTAGCCAACAGTCTCTAGGAAGTGGTCTTACAACTTAACTGCTCTGCAGTAGAGCTTCAAATGTCACCTGCTGAAATTATCACCTGTCCAAAGAGCATTTATAAGATGAAGACACAAGCTTAGCCTTACTGTAGATTTTAAAAGTTGTGCATTTATTGCCTCGTTTTTGAAAATCAACTCAAGAAACAAACTCTATAGGACATGGATCAACAGTGTCTATTTCTTAATGAAGAACGTAATCTAATATAAATATCAAATGACAGGTCCCAAAGAAGCCTATGTATAAATTCCACAAAATCTGAAGGTAATGACATAAATGAGGTGATGCCATTGTTTAACCCAGGTTTTAAATTCAAGTTATCAATGAAACCATTGGAAAATGGCCAAGCTGCTTAGTAGACAATGAAGTATATTAATTACACTAAATTCAATGACATTGTAAGATCATTTATCCTTCAAGCCTCTATGATGTGGAAAAGTTGGCTAACTTTGTTTTCTCGGTCAGTAGACCCTTTGTTACGGTTGTATAGCAAGTGCTCACTGGGGAAGGAGAAGCTCCAAAAGGCAGATTTATTTAAGATACATGACGCCAGCTGCCAAAGACTGTGTTTAGAATACAGAAGAACAGCACAGTTACAAAAAGACATTTTTAAAAATGCTACATCATCTTAGGAAATCAAAGTTTAATCCCATTTTATGAAATCAAGCTCCAGCAAACACACTCACCAAAAGACCAGACGTCAGATTTACTGCTGTACTTGTTGAAGTGGAAAACTTCAGGAGGAGACCACTTGATTGGGAACTTGGCTCCAGAGGAACTGATATATTCATCATCCAAAACGTACCTAAGGTCATCAGTTTCAAAGTGCATTGTGTTAATTACCCACACTTTCTACTTACTGCTAATCCCTCTAGTTAATTCCGAGTTGCTAAAAGACAAATTATTTTACCCCAGAAAGGTTGTATACCCCATTCCCTTTGTGTTAGCGCCGTGTGAGAGTGTGCTGTAGAGGTTTCCTCCCCAAACCTGGTCTTAGTTACGTTTATTTAATTTGGGTTTCCAAAACTCATAGTAATTCTTTAGTCCAAAACATGGCTCACAGCTCAGTGCCCGTAGCACAGTGGTTACGGTGCCAACCACATATACCGAGGGTGGTGGGTTTGAACCCAGCCCAGGCCAGCTAAACAACTGCAACAACAAAAAAAATAGCCAGGAACTGTGGCAGGTGCCTATAGGTCCCAGCTACTTGGGAGGCTAAGGCAAGAGAATTGCTCCAGGAGTTTGAGGTTGCTGTGGGCTATGACACCATGGCACTCTACCAAGGGCGACAGCTCGAGACTCTGTCTCAAAAACAAAACAAAACATGGCTCACCACTCACTATTGTCAGTTATGATAAACTCTTAACTCTGTATAGAAGCATGCTAAGTACTTTAACAACCAAGGATATAAAAAGGAAATAAAAGATAAAGAAAAGATGACTCTTATAATAGAAAAAAATTAATTCAAAGTCAGATACGATATTTTCTGCCATTTACATATTTTTTAGTGGGGCAAAGAGAAGGGCAGAAGATAACAGTATATAAACATAATGCTTTTTGGTTTTTTCAGAGGTCTGGTCTCTGTTACCCAGGCTGGAAAGCAGTGGCATGATGATAGCTCACAGCAACCTCAAACTCATGGGCTGAAGCGAGCCTCCCATCTCAGCCTCCCAAAGTGCTGGGATTACAAGTATGAGCCACATAAATACTTTCAATGAGAAAAATCTCTACTGCATTAAACTGGTCCTCTATGGAGATACATCAGGAATAACTACCATCTCCTTAAAAAAAAAAATTGAACCCTCTCTATTTTTTTGAGAATTATATGCAAGAATGTCCAAGTTTGGGAATCTGGAAAGAAGAAATAACAACTAATTGTGCTTGTTGCCCCTTGAGTATACAATATAATACTTTTCAATTATGTATTAACACAGCCCCCACACTTTCACTTCTATTTTCATGTATACACCTCACTGCACCTTTAAGCCTTTTATCCAATCAGAAGTCATTCTACACTGGTAAAGAATGAATAATACAAAAAAAAAGGGTGGCAAATGCCATTTGCTATAGATTTTGAGTTTCTAAAGTCGAGGCTTTTCACAAAATATCTGGGAAGATGCACCCTAGCTGAGAGTGCGATCTCAGCACCACACTGTCCATCTATCCATCTAGACAAAGATCCCTTAAGCTGGGTGGAGCAGGAAATAGAAGGGAAGG